TGTCTAAGTAGAACATCTTCTCGTTTGAAGGGACAAACGTTACAACGAACAGAAACTTTTTCTCACAGCGATACTTATCAGAATTTTGAGATCATCGATATCTAAATTTCTTGTATTCGAAGTCACGTAAAGGTCGCTGGATAGATCTTGACCACAGCTGTTATTCCATAATGACAAAAATATATACCACCGTTTAAAGAAGCTTATAAATTAAAATCCTCAAAAGTATGTCCTTGAGACAAATTGTCTGTTTATCATAACATATGCCCCTTCGAACCAAATAACAATCTTGAACGTTTTTGATTCAAATTATCAAGAACAAATAAAATATTCAAAGCAATCAAGTTTTTTTCTTTACCCAGTATATTCGAAAGATCTGTTTTATTTGAAACTGTTCCTTTTCGATTTTTCCCTAGTTAGGACGAAGAAGTTAAAAGAAATACTAAATTGAGGTATTTAATTTAAACATGCTAATAAATGTGCACTATTTATTTGAGGAATATACAGTCGGCCCAAATTCTCAGGTACCTAAAAAGTTTATATTATAAAGGAAGCTTCGCTATGTCGCTTTATATACATTTTGTTCAGACTCGAAACAATAGTAGCATTATAGAGGGCTGAAAGCTGTGTTTGAAACACGGCACATTAAGTAACAGAAAGCTGCTACGGAAATGACAATGCATTAGTACCACGAATCATTAAGAGGTATTATACGTTTACGATTGATTAATCACGAAGTCAAAGTTAAAGGATCGATAAAGTGAATGAATCCAAGAGGGACATATTTTTGTGATCTGTATATATAGAGATTAAAACTTAAGATATTTACTTGAAGATACTTAGAGAAAACGAAAGATATTCACTACTCAACCGTCTTACTGATACGTATACTGATTAACGTAAAAACAAAATAAAACCTCTCATGATCAATGAGTCGTGCTGTTACAGGAACGCTGACCCCAGCGGCTACCCAAACAGAAATTAGAAACTGTTAGGGACTTTGTCCTAACGATGACAGGAGTCATTATAACAATCTCTACACACTGTCCATTTGATTCGACTTTTTCTTATGCATACATGATCCTTATCTTCCCTGGATTATTAGTGTACTTGGGAAAAACGCGGATTAAATGAACTATGTATACTTTGCTCAGCTCATTCCACTCCTTTTTTGAGAGGTATGAAACAGTTAATTCCTTCAATTATTGGTTTTATAACATTATGTCAACATTTCGCCAACATTGCAAATATCTTCGTCGGAGATCACAAGGTGACGTTATGTCATATGGTGCAGTGAATGAAAAAGGTATCGACGGTCCTATTATAAGTTTAAAAAATAGCATGGTGATACAATGTAGATCTTTAAATATTTCATTGTATATATGAAAATAGCATGCTTGTTTGGGGATGTTACTGATGTACTATTTATGAGTAATGAAAAGGAAAACAAAACTCTTGTAATATAATTGGCATATTGCTCGTTTGTGTACTAACTGTACACACAACAGAGTTATGTTATAAGAAACGCAATAAAAATAAGTTTCCGAAAAACGTTGCTCGACAATCTTCTTAGATTATGATGCGATATCACTCGATTAAACTCTGATAGGTTTAAACGAATTTTGTGTTGCTTGTTGTAGAACATGGTGCTCCTAAATGTACAATTATTATACAGATTTTCTACATTTATGACAAAAGTCGATAGGCAAAATATAAAATGGTGGAAATACGAAACAATTCTAAGAATATCGATACATTATTTTCAACTTATTAAAGTTATTAAACAAAGAAATTAATAAGATATTGCTACTTCCTTAACTACAAGATTTTAGCTTTCGGTGCAGTGTTTTAATTGTAATTATTATACTGAGATTTTTCACGCAAAATTAAAATTTTCCACGTCACTTGTAAGAAATCTAAATTACATACATATGTATTTTGTTATTCAATAATTTGAAAGAGTCGAAAATAGTGTAACAACATTCTTAAATTCGTCTATTGACTTCACAGTTTTGTATTTCGCCAGTTCATTTTTATTATAAATGCATAAAATTTGCATTTCAGTCGAGCTTATTTTCTCGTTTGCGATAAAATATTACAAAATCCACGTTGCGTGATCATGCAAATGTTTGTTTTGTTCACTGCAATTCACTGGTAAAGTGACGTGATTATTAAAATTAATTGTACCAAGAAAGATCAAACGAAATATGTAACATTAGCTTATTAAATAATTCATAAAGTTAGGAAATAATTGTGTAGGTAGTGTTCAGAAAACTGACGGAATATCCTACTATTATTATTTAAGAGGTTACAAATGCCTTTTAAAGATTTTATTTAACCTCACAGCTTTCGACGACGGTTAACTTCATTTCATGTTAGCCATTTTGATTAGGTCTTCGTAAAAAGGTCGACTCATTTCAAAGGAGGTACATTCGAAAACATATCTCAAAAGATTCGCAAAGACTCGAATGGTTTTTTTTTCGTTTCACCGCCTACGAAGTCTTTAAAACGTTCGCCTTTTGAGGTTTGAAACGAAATAGGGTATGCCACCGGTGGAAGAGCTCCCCATTAACCCAGACGATCCTTTCTTTGACCCGCGTGGGTATAGTAATAAACTTTTTACTCGGACTAGTGGTTCGTTAAGTTCCAGTGTTTAAAACCATACGAATGAGAACGAATGAGTTGCCTTTCCATATGGATACGTTGATGCTATTCAAACTAGAGACACCGAATATATGACTCCAATAATTTAAAATGATTACTGCGAATTTTTACGCATTTATGACACATGCCGATCTTTCGAATGCAAGAAAATGTATAAATTAACGAGGTCTAGTTGCTCTTTTAGTTGACAAAAAAAGCTTGCCTCTAATTCCAGTTTTCGTAAAATGACGTATGCATACTTTGCATAAAGATCCGCAATCTAGTAATTGAAATTGGATTTTATACAATTACCAAGAAGAAAATGTCGAGGGACGAAAAATAACTTTCACAATAGGAAGCTCAGAGCAAAGCGAGAAAATACTTCAGTAGGAAGTGCAGAGAAACGTTGGATTAATAGGTAATCGATATTGTTCAGCTGACCAATTAAAACTCTTTGATTGGTAGATATCGAAGCGATGAGGGCCGTATACTTCATTAGTGAAATGTCATATGACTTCTGTCAGAACCAGTGTGATTCTTGACGTTCCAATTAACGACAATATTGACGGAATGTTGAAGTAACTTTTCTAGTAGTACAGATTGCCTACATAGAATACTCGACCTTAAAAACTGCACGATGTTGAGCTGCAAAAGCTTCGAAATTTTTATTTCATTCTTATCTACATCACGGTGTTATACAACACGAGTTGTAATAAACTGTATGCGTAAGTGTCATTCTATCTTGTTGATTCATTTGTATGAATTTCTATTATACTTCTGAATTTAACGAAATCTCTTTTACATTTATTCCGATAACAGTTGAAATATAAAGCAGCCATATTGCCCTAATATATTATATTATATTTATATTTTGAATTTTTATATTTTAACTGCTGACCATTATGCAAAATAAAAATTGTCTGAATCAATTGCAAGACATAGGAATAAAATACAATTTGTTTCCTTCTTCAACTATAATTTTAATAAGTTGAAATTAATATTCCAACATTCTAAGTTTCTTTAAATATTTTCAATATTTTCAGAATTTTCAATTTCACCTAACCACTTTTACTATAAGTTCATAAAAACCGCAGTCTCGTAATCACAGATTCGTAGTTGTCAAGTAAAATGAAAGGAATTGTCGCAACTTCTTTGTGAAATATCATGAAATTATCATTTGTAATGTACAGTTTTATATTATGTAAATGGATTCATATTTCAGCACATGGTCTATCAGATAACGAATATTTAAATTCAATTAGAAATCATACATTCTGATTATTCAGTCGGATATGTGTTACGAATTATTTTATGCTCAATTAGTACATCATTCTTAGCATACAATCATTTTGCTCCATTTACGCGATGGGGTTATAGAAAGAAATTTATGATCGTTTTATTAGCAGGCTCCTTATTTCTCGTTTACCGGTGCAAACAACAAAGACTATCCCATGGTAAGAATTCAATAAAAATATTAATAAGATATAATGGTAGAGGAAAAATACTGTAATTAGTACTCGACGTAACGTGTAGCACACGTTGAAGTATTGAATGGTACATATGAAGTTAATTGAAGTGAAAGTTGAAATGATAATAAACCTTCATTTGATTGAAGATATTAAAAAAACAATATTACACGAATAACAAAAAGAACGCATTCAAAGAATGTATTTAGAAAGATGTACATAATATTTACTAAAAATGGTTATAATTGTGTACTATTATCTTGTAAGAGACATTTCGTTATATTTAAGCCTCTTTCACGAAAGCTGTACTACAAATTTTTGTTATATAAAAATTTTGTCACTATCATATTTATATCACAAGTTCGTTTATTTATTATCTCTAAGTTATGGTTATATTTATATTTTCATATAAAATGCAGAAAGTTGTGACATAGATTAGAATGAAGCTTGCATATGTTGTTGGTAGTGGTTTAATTTCTAGAATCCTGAATTGAAGTATATGTACTCGGATAAACAATATTGATAGTGTCTTATTAACATTTTTACTATCATTAAGCACACAGAGACGACTGTTTGCCCGGCATTCAAGGTCAGTTGGCATGCGTGATTCAATTACTCACACAAAATATCGACACATGTTAAAATACTATAGTATAACTGTAATAATGATAACTGCACTAATGATGAAAATGATATCAGAATTGTTATTGAATGATATTTTGAATCTTTTCTGAGTTTCTAAAACAATTTGGAGTACATTTTCTTCTGACAATAATTTTTAAATTATTATTAAATTATTATCACACTTCAAGTGTGAAATAATATTACTGTTTTACACCAAACAATTGAGAAATTGCGATAATGTAAAATTATTAATAATATATATTTCTCTGCTTCAAGAATGTTTTAATGCAACTAAGTATTCAACATTTCAATTAAGGAATTCAATTCTTGTTAATCATTTATCTATTCTCTATAATATTAATTCTGTAAATATGATCAGAAAAATTGAAATTCTTTTTCCACCATTTTTCTATCACGAATAAACCAAATATTAATACTTAAATTTAATTATCGACTAATTTATAAAAAGGTGGAGGAAAGGAGAAAAACGGGACAAAGAAGTACAGTGGAGAAAAGAATAATATACAATAATTACGAGTATGTATATGAAAAAATGCGTACCCCGTCAAATATGTCCATGACCTCGTCCCACCACTAAAAACACAGAATTAATTAGGCGTTAATACATGCGCTAATTAAGTATGAGGTTACAATGACATTGAAAAAAAGAGAAATAACTGAACTGTTAAACGTTTTCGGTGACTGCTTTCCATCTAATCTTTTTCGTTACGAACTATTTTTGGCGGTAGATTTTTCTTTAACGCATGAAAAATTCGAATATTGTACATTGTTAGTAGAAAATTTCCGACCACTCAAAAATATTTACAAATTTACGTATTCAGAAATTCGCAAATTCGCACATTCACAAATTCGCAAATTCGCAAATTCACAAATTCACAAATTCACGAATTCACAAATTCACAAATTCACAAATTCGCAAATTCGCAAATACACAAATTCACAAATTCACAAATTAAGAACATTATTTAGAAATCTTTATTGTTTTTTATAATAAGACGAAAGATAAGCTTGCATAAAAATTCGCAGTCTAATAGTTACACATTTTTTTATAACAAATATGTAAATAAATCCAACTTGATTTGCTTTATCCAATACTGTTTGTCAGGTGTAACAAATGCTTCCTGCTTTAACAGAAAGAATTCTCCTAAAACAGCCACATATGGCATACCAACCCCAGTTAATATCCTGTCCCATCAAATTATATGATCAAAAAATAGAGATGTGATTGGATAAATTCTGCCGGTAATGTACCGAGTTATTTTAATGCTAGTTAGTTATAAAGTAAAGTTATTTAATACTGAACTTCAGACGAAACGAAGTTCTCATTAGATGGAAAGCAAAATCAATAGAAGTGAAATATACTAGAAGCAGCGCTACTGAAGCGAACCAAAAACCGAGGAAGTGATCGAGAAATCATGAAAGTGAAGGTCTCGTCAGCGAAGAACGTCGAGAAACGATTTCGCCAAGGAAAGAAGCTCCGACAGAAACGAAGAAAACGAGCGGTTGCTTCGTAAATTGATTTCAATCGTTCGATTAATCGTTACCTTCCTTCTGGTCCGTGTGACAAAAGTCGGCTAGAAGCAAAGCCATGTCAAACGATCATGTTTCGGACACACTGTTTCGTTTTGAATTCGAGAATTTACCTCGATATTCGATCAAACTCAACCAAATATTGTTTTCTACTAACAAATACGATAATGGTGAGTAGAAACCCAAGGTACGAATTTCAATTGGAATACAATGGATGTCACAAAAATATTGTATTTCCTTGAAGGGAAAGATTCCTGAGGTGATTTTAAGTAACTTTCTCCGTTGCGAAAATGTTGTCCGCAGCTTCGTTAACGAATTATTAGCGATAAATCCGGACCAATGGGAGAGCGAGTACCGCTTGCGCATCGCCCCGCAACCAATGTTATATCGAGCTCGTTTATCGCGCCGCTATTCATCCGCTGTAATTTTTCGTTAATATAACATATTAACAAATCCAGGAAGAACAGTTTCGCTAACAATAAGGAAACATTTACTTCAATCGCTTCAGAAATCGCTCCGTTTAAAGGCTTGCATTTCTGAGACACCCTGTAGATAGGGTGAGGAGATATCATCTAGTAATTGACAGCAGACTGGAATATTGGCAGTCGAGTTTCGAGCGATTAGATTTGTTTTCGTTGTGATTTTAGTGAAATCTTGATTGGAGAAAAATGGATTCACGAGTGGAGACGGATAGTTTCCCGAGATGTTGGAGTGCTTACCTCCTTGGCTTCCTTTTCGGCAATGGATGATCGTCCTGGTTCGTAGTCCTCGATTCGACCTGGTTGATTCTTGTAAATGTCTGTACTGTACTTCAACGTTCCATTTCTGAAATTTTACAGTCATTGTTTTGCGGTTAATTTGTTTAACTGTTCATTGACGTGAAATTATTCCTTGTATTTTTCGAAGGTTACTAACAATATACATATTAAGTGACTAAGTTTTCTCATCTTCTGAAAACTGTAAGCTTGCATCTACCTATACTTTGTTCAATTTTTATTATAATCCATCACTAAGAAGTTATAAATAATTATTATGC